CACCCAGGGAGCGATGGGGACACCCTCTTTAGCCACAGTGGGCCAGCAGGAGAGGGAGCGGTGCTGGACGCTGGGTGCTCTGATGCCAATGAAAACGCGCTTGAGATCAAGCGCGCTGCACCGAGTCTGGCCTGTCTGAAGCGGGGAGGGTGGACAGGGCCAGCCTTCCTCTCGTTTCCAAACACACGGATATCTAAACTCCAAAAGGGATGAACCTTCGAGGCTTTACCTAGTTCACCTCACTCTGTGGGCGCTCACGGAGAAGGGAGGAAGGGGAGGGAGCCCAGCAAGGAGAAGTGACTTGTCGAACGCCACCCGGGCAGCAGTGGAAACAGAGCCTTCTTTTCAAAACAGGCAGCACGAGGAAAAGCCCCCGTGGGCCGGGTCGGAATGACGCCTCGGGTCCCCACCCCTCCGCGACACTGCACCCCACTGACCTCGTCGGCCCCTATGTCACTTACTGCTCTGAGCCACAAACTCCTGTGCGGCCACAGCAGGGCTGTCTCCAGGTGCTCCCCCTCACCTGTCCGTTTATACCTCGGGTTGGCGAGAGCCTCGAGAGGCAGAAGGGGCGCTGCCCAGGGAGTGTGCCCAGTCTAGCTCAGGGCTTCTCAAAAGACGCTCGGCATAGATGTGATGATGTAAGCTGGCTTACGGGCACAGCCTGGAGGCTGGCCGCCTGGGTGGGAATCTTATTCCCGCCGCGTGCCAGCATTCAACTTCCGAACAAGGGGCTGCATGCTCTCACTGGTAAGGCGGAGACAGCAAAGTTGCTGTGTACAGGGTGGGTGGGTTACGGGGAGATCGCGGGAGACGACACAGGTCAAGCACTACCTTCTGTGGGCAATCTCGGGACGTTCCAAGGGACTTTCAGCGACCAATTGGTCTGAGTAGTTTATGCTGATTTTAGAACCTAACCTTTGTGGAAGGTATCGGTCCATTAGAGCCATTACCCATTTCTGTCAGAACAAAGACAAATTAAAATAAAAGAGATCTGAGCTAAGGAGGCCGTGCAGCCTTCCAGCCCCAAACACAGGGTGAAACCGCTCGTCTCCCTGTACCTCAGTGATGGAGGGCTTCACTGAGCTCAGGACTGGGCCGGGCACAGGAAAGCACCGACTGTCACGGTGCTGGCAGGGTGACAACCAGCAACTGCCCCCCACACACCCTCTGCAGCACCCAGCGTGACCGCCACCGACCGCACTCACGTTGTAGGTCTCCAGTTTGACCCTGATCCTGAATGTGAACGACCGGAAGTTGGCATTCTGGAACGCTTCCTCAAACGCCTGTTCATTCTGCAGAAACAAACAGTGACATTTAGACCAGGGCACGGCCGGCCGCCCTGAAAAGGCTTCCGAGACTCCCGCCGCGGGGACTTTGAGATAAATCTTAAGAACACCATCAGCCCCGGTGGTTTGGGTTTTATTAGGAATGATTAACCTGCAGGTGACACTTCATCATATACAACTGTTTAAAAGGAACTGTATTAAAACTTGAAACACTCTTGGGAAAGGCATTTCTGGTCTTCACAAGCACGAGTCCACAGACCTGAGGCCCGCATTGTCATTAAGAATGTAAGCACTCGGGGCAGAGGTGGACCATTCTGAAAAAGTGTTAAGTTTGTTACATATGCCACTCCTTGGTATTCCCAGCTACAAATCTGGGGAGTAGGTGGGGGCCAAAGGCAACAGAGAGGCGGGCAAAGGTTATGAGCAGTCTGAAAAAGAGCCCCCTCCCTCTATCACCTGCCCCTCAAATACTGCTTAATTTTTGAGCCTGATAAACAGAGATGTTTAAAAAGCATTGTACATAAATCTATGTAAACGAAATGTATAACTTTATATAAAACTAACAGTTCCTATCAGTCAAGTATTATCTTGGTAAGGCATATGGAACATGAAAAAAAAAAAAAAAGCTTTGTTATACAGAACTCCTTTTTGTAAAGGTTACTTCACCCCCCAAAAGCATGAAATAGTCCCTTTGGACTTCGATATGTAAATACAACATTAAACCTTCAGAATATTATGCAGCTGCTATTCTTCCTCCAAGATTAAGGACGCATGGAGCGCACGCTCCGAGAACATCGTGCTCCTGAGGGAAGAGCTCCCATATGTACTCATTCGCCAGCAGTGAGAACAGTCAAATATAACGGGCTAGTAAAACAACAACTCCGCCAGGCTGCCCGAGCCTTAAAATCTGATGTGAAAACAGAGGACCTGGCAAACAGACAAAAAGATCCATCACATTTTAAAGTCAATTCCAGTTGCTTCTATTAAAGGGCATGTAGGGCTCTCCACGACTCTCCGACTATTGAAAAAGAAGCAGGGGACAAAGTCAACGGCTGCACTGAGGACACAGGCAGAGCAAGGAGGGGACCACCAGAGCAGGGGCTGAATCTCTGTGCCTTGTTTACAACGCGCAGGAAGTGGGGGTGGGGTGATCTATAGGTAGACGTTCATTTGTGGGGCTCAGAACGCAGTGCAATATATGGATGTATATACACATAGGCATTTAAATGGAAAGACTGCTTCCGGGACTCTCCTTTACATCCTCCATCAGAGCAACTTACCCATTAATCTATCCCCAGCATTAAACAAAAAATGCAAACATAAGATCGATTATATCATTTGATAAAAAGAAAGTGCTTCCTTAAGAATTGCACCCAAATGCTAAATATGTGCATTGAAAGCAGAAGTGGAGCCACCTGCTCAGAAAGGCGTTTATTACGTAGCCTTAGAGGCAGACCTGCTGCACGGGGAGTTACCGCAGAAGAAGCCTGCCCACTCTCACGTGACCACGTGCGCGCCAGCCTGGTGTGCTCACAGCCAGAGAGACAAGCGGGTCACACGCTACTGAAGCACATTTACAAACATCACAGTAAGTCCCGATGACAAACCGACTCTCTGTTAGCAACTCTGACTTTAAGTCAGGCTTGTACCTGAATCCGAACAGTCAGGCACGATCCCCACCTACTGTGAGGCAGTCACGTGTTTGTCTCAGGACAGAGTGCATGTAATTGTGTGACACCTGAGGTATAGATCAATAAAACTGTTAACTTATGTTTTGTGTATCTTTTTTTAAAAAAAACATATTTTTTTATGTTCCAAACAGACACACGACACCATCTGTAACATAATGCTACCATAAGACAATGTTTCGAAGGTGCTTGTTGGAAAGTGGCACCTATTTGTTAAGAACCACAAAAGGTTGGAGGATCCTAACCCAGGATCACCTGCACTTCATCACCTCACTGTTAGGCAGCCAAAATGCACCAAAGGAGAAATACCATCCATCTGAATGATCCGTAACACACAAAAAAAATCAACCAAGGAATACTACCAGCTTCCAGCCACTGAAGAGTAGCAGCCGTGGCTGTGCGCTACCCCAGGGGCGTGGGCCTCGCTCCACCAGAGCCCCAAGGTGACCAAGAAGGTGAGCAAGCGGAGGCACAGTCGCGGCCGCAGTGCCTCACCAAGCACACCACGTTCATGTGGGCAGGATCCGGGAGGAGTGTGGCTTCGCGCCCTGCGAGTGACGAGTGAGACGGGCACAGAGCTGCTCAAGGTCTCCGAGGACAAGCAGGCACTCAAGTTCATCAAGAAGCAGGTGGGGACACACATCCACGCCAGGAGGGAGAGAGGAGCTGAGCACCGTGCTGGCTGCCACGAGGAAGCCGCTGCCCAGAAGGGCTGAGCGCTGCGCCCCCCTTGGCCCCCAATAATAGCCTTTCCAGAAACTAAAAACCAAACCAACTGAAATACACACAGGGACCAGTGTAGAGCACAGAGGACCTCCTAGTTATAAACGCACGGCTGACCTTCTCTTTCAACTCCCCAAGGTACGCAGAGCTTTGTCCAAGGATGGCCTCCGCAGTCTCCTGGAAACACGTCACCCACTGGTTCTCTAGGAAATCTGCAATATTTGCCTTAAAAAAAAAAAAAGAAGAAGAAGAAATCAACACAGCCCTCGCATCATTACAGCAAAGAAACGATGAAAGGAAGGGATGGTTGAGGCTGGAAAGGTAGCTCTTTCCACTCGTGCGTTCCTGTAGAAGTCCACAGTGCCACTACAGACACAATGTTTTCCCAGGGAGAGAAGAGGGACAGAAGCACAGAGACAGAGAGACATAAGTGGGGTCACAACAGGCCACACTGGTGCTGTGGGTGTGTCATTCCAAATCTCAGCAGGGAAGCTGCCTGCCCCTGCTCTCCTTTGAAGGCAGCGAGCTCACAGACAAGTGCAGGGACTCAGCTCCCCTCCAGCTCCAGGGGGCTGTGGACTAAAGGTTCCCAATAAGCCCCCAAACGGGACACTCTTCAGTCACTAGGAGGAGTTGCAGGAAGTGGAGCCACATCACTGCTAAGCCATACAGACCGTGGCAGCCACCAGTCACCTAGCAGCAGAGTGACCGATAAAGCACCCGCAGTTCATGCAGGGTGCCAGGGCTTCCAAAATTGGCCAGGACATTCCGTTATCTCCTAATCCTATTTTGCTGCCATTTTTCTAAAGCCCCGTCGTAGGGGAGGGTCAAAGAAGAATTTGAGTATCTAACTGTAGAGGGGGGATGGAGGGGGTTAGAAATGGGCTTTACTTAAGGTTTTCATTTTGACGGCTTTACAAATTCATTTTGCAGGTACACGGGACTTTTTAGGATGAAACACAAAGTTCACGGCACGACACGTGGGGGCTCATCCCTACCGAGCACCCCATCCTAACCCCCGAGGACAAGAGCATCACACGCTCAGCAGACGTGAGGGTCAGCACCCGTCACAGGAGAAAAGCACGCAGGGGGCCTACTACTGAGCAGGTCACAGTGTCACAGCATTCTCTTCATCTCAGTGCATTGAAAGGGGAGGAGTTCCCCCGGCACTTGGAGAGGCAATGAAGAGGGCAGAAAGGATGGATGGAATCTGCGGTTTACCTAAAAATGTCCTCAAAGTGACCGTGACTGGCGTGTGCGTGTACGTGTAAGAAACCATTCAACAGTGGGCTAGTTTTAGTCTTGTACTAACAAAGGTCCGTTTACAAACATCTTAACGGCTTCTGGCCCCTCACTGCCGAATCACCGTCTAGCAAAAAACGTGACAGCCTTTCTTCTTGTAACTTCACTGTGTATGATTAAAAACATAGAACAAAACCCTTGCCCCATTCGTCAGAAAGGAACAGCTGCTGAAATGCAAACAGAAGCAGCCCCTCCTGAGCACATTGTCCCCTGCCACCGCAGTCGGCTCCAGAGAGGCGGGAGGCACAGACCCTCCACGAGGACAACAGGACACACAGGCACCGGCAGACTAAGCAGCATTACTGCTCTCCAAACACGCCACTTCAGATGGCGTGTCTGTCACTGTGCGGCATGCAAGCCGGCTGAGGTCAGCTGGGGTACATAAAGGGGGAAAAGCTTTTAAGAGGAGAAACAGGCCGCTAGTCGCCCGAGTGAAGGCCCTGCCTGATTCACGAAAGGACCATAAGCTCGCTCTTCAGCACGTCCTGCAGGCTCCCAACGGCCCCCACTCCCCCCTTCTCCCATGAGCGCTCTTGTACCTAGGGTGCCGGCCTGAAGCGGCTCTCAGCTCCGCGTGCTACCTACTCACCGACAGGATCAGGCGGTACTTAAAGTTGGGAAACTCGCTGTCACACTTCTCACAGCGGTACAGGCCGTTCTGCTGGTCAATCACCTTCTTGTTGCAGTCCTGAGTCGGGCAGGCCTGGTACATGCAGCTCTCCTTGCGAAGATACACCACGGTGGCCACGGTGCTGAAGTAGTCCGCCTTCGGGAGGGAGGAGGGGCACGGGGCAGAGCCATCAAGCCTACACTCGGGTTTGGAGGCAGCCCGGAGCCCGCCCGCCCGCCGACACAGAGACATGGTTTTTCGATTTCATTTCTCGAGATCACAAAGCGACTCTAGGGACTGGTTTGCTCTGACCGGCTGAAGGCCACCAAGCCAAGTCTAACACATCAAGTTCCTTGGCAGCAGAAGAGTTAATGCTAGACTACAACGGAAATCCCGGTTCCTTCTTCATTTGAAGTGGCGACGCGTTCCTCTGCCCAGAGCACAGAGCCCTGGCGAGGCTGGGCCAGACTGACAACAGTGGCAGAGAGAGAACGAGAGCGCTGGACTTCTCTCGGACTAGGGCTTGGGCAGGGCTCGCGGGCTGTGCTGTGTACATGTCCGGGAGTACAGAATGTCACCTGACAGGCTGCTCTCTGCTGTGGTGCACGAGCCACAGGTGGCGCATGGGAAGGTGTGGGGCTGGTGCCAGCAACGGGGGAAGGGCAGCCAGTGCTTCAGGGACACTGGGGCTTTGTGGGATGAAGGGAGAGACGGGAAAAGCACAGCGGTGACGGTTGTACAACATAGTGGCTGTGCTTATTGCCGCTAATTGTGTAAAATGTGCTTATTGTCGCTAATTGTGTAAAATGTGCTTAATGTCGCTAATTGTGTAAAAAACAGCTCCCACCGCAAACCTTTGGTTCTTTATACTTGACCCTGATGAGCAGCAAACCGAGTGGCTGGCCTCTGATAGGCATGCTGACCCCTGGTCTGGGAGGTCAAGCTCAGGAGAATGCAAGGCCAGTTGTGGCCAGGCTCTGCGCTTCCCAGGTTGAGAAACCACTGGCAGTGGATCCAGCCAGGATGCAGCCGCGTGCATGCCTGGGCTTTAGTTGTATGTGCTCGTTTTATTTGGGGGGTAGGGAGGAATAAGTGGTTCTTCACTGCAGCCAGCGACCATCTCCCAGTGGGTGTGGCCTGAATTACGAGTTAGGCCAGCAACCTCTAGGACTGTCTCAAGCTGAAAGAGGCCAAACCTTCAGCTTAGAAGATTCTAGAGAACATTAAGACTCCCGAGAGACTGCCTAAAGCATCTTTTTTATGACAGGGACTTCAAAAAGTCCGTGGAGATTTCCCATTATCTTTTAATTTCCACCCCCCATGAATTTTTGAAACCCAGTAACATTTTTGGATTATGTCCAGATTCAAAATCGGACATGAAAGCATGGGTACAGACACGGGTTGGACTCTTCCTGCGTACTGCCTCCCCTCCCGTCTGACGATTCCTGGTGGGGCTGTGGACTAGGCGATGCATCGCCAACCACCCAGAGGGCGCTATGAGTCGACACGGGCTGGCTCTCTGCTCCCGTGAGGAGGCGGTCTCAGAAACCCTACGTTAAGGGTGGCTACAAGTCAGAACTGACTCCCTGCCCACGGTCTGGTTTGGTTTTTGAGCCTTTTAGATCTAAGAGAGAAACATGGGAGGCTGTTTCCATGACAGAACAATGTTCAAGTCCCAGGATGTTACATATGACAGTGGTGGCTGTTGATAACAATGATGGATAATAGGGAAGCTGTCAGATCAGACAGGTAAGGAAGAGGAGCCACACTGTGTATTGCCCAAAGGAAAAAGCGGCAGTGTTGTTTGCAAGTGCACAGGAGAAACGAGTGATGTACACACTGCCTGAGAGGCAGGATGCGTGCTTCGGTCCAGCCGGGAGGAGGGTCCGACTAGTCTCAGCTACCAGGGCCCGCTCCTGCCAGGGGATGCTGGCAACTCAGCCTGCGAATGCGCAGGACCACCAATGTCTGACAGGGAACCGAAGACTTAATGCTTGCAGTAAGCATTTTTTTAAAATCAACTTGCAAGAAAACCAGAAAAGAAACAGACCAGGAGGCCTGAGAGCTGCTATTATTGCCTCTAAGAATTAAAGGAGTCCCTTGTCAGGGTGCTTGGAGCCCTGGCAGGGGAGTGCTTACACGCTGGGATGCAAACTACAAGGTCAGCGATCGGAAACCACCCACGGCTCTGCAGGGAGTTACAGTCCCGGAAATTCCCAGGGTCAGCTCGACTCTGTTCCACAGGGCCAATGTGAGTCACAAGTGTCTCCCTTGTTGGGGTTCTGAACCTTTTCTGCCCCGACCTTCCTGAGGGACACACCCTACTCCCATCAGAACCTGCAGCCCCTTCGCGCTGGCCCTGTGCCTGTGCCTCTGAACCACCTCCAGCCGCTCTGGTCAGAGCCTCGTTCCGAAGCCCAGCTGGGGACTAGACTGACCACGTGTCTCAGTGAAGAGGGGCAGGAAGGCAGGTACCTTGTCGCCCTGGCCCAGGTTCTCCGACTTGACTTCATAGAGGGTTTTCCAGTTGGTGTTGCTCCCGCCGACGCCTCCACTCTTTAGATCAGAGATGGAGACACCATCTAAGGCTTGTCCTTCTGAGTCAAACCTGGAAAAGACGGGCACTCCACAGACTTCCTATCCGCTCCATACAGGCGCTCCGCCTGCCCCCAACCTTCTCTGGGCTAGTCTCTCAGGCTGTCACAGGCACGTAACTTCTTCATTGTGAGCCCAGCCTACAGATGCAGAATGGCTCGCTCACCACAGTGGTTTCGATGCCCCCCGCCCCCCCTCTCCACCCCCCGGTGGTGAAGACACACAGCGTCTAAGGACCACAGAATCATTCCAGGTAGCAACATGGGTGGGTCGGCGGGCCAAGACCTCAAACAGCCTGGGCTGGCCGGGAACCAGGAACCAGCAATCTGCCAGAGCATGGTTTGTGCTGCCGGCTGCCGGCAGCGGCCATACTTTGATCACCACCGAGAGGGGCAGTCCTCACAGTGTAATAGACTGGCTTAGCAAAACATGGTGGAAGATCTTTTAAGCTCGATAGAGCAAGCACTCCGAAGAGTGCAGAACCCCCAAAGCAGCTGGCTTGACGGCCTACCTGTTGTGGATATACCCACTTAATAAGCACTTCTGCATGCTGACATTAAAGCTAAATCTCTATGAAAAGTAGGTGTATCCACAGAACCACTGATTCGAAGGGGGTGGGAAAAAGTGGCAGGGCGGGGTCTGTCTGTCGTAAGGCAGAAAAAGGTGTCACGCGCCATCCCACAGAATGGATGCTGCCCTGCGCTGCTGGCAGCAACTGCCTTCTTGTTCTGCCAGGTAACCGCTAAATCTGTCACAAAGGCCCGGCTCAACCCATAAATCTGTGGCACCAGCACTAGCCGTGCAAGTCTACGGTTTCAAAGACTCCAAGGAGGCATTTGCCACCAAAGACAGCCCATCCGGAGTCAGCAGAACAAGGAGAGGGGCAGCCTTTCTCGGGAGAAAAATCCCACAAGGTTACATTGTTACAGCAGCTCTCTAAACATCTCAAACCCTTGCCAAGGTGGGCTACGCATGTGCAGCAAGCATTCTTGGTTATTGACAGGTGAAATATGGACACCTTATTGCAAGACCTCAGTGAACCTTGTCTCCCCCAAAGACACGCAAAACATGAGGCGCTTTTTGCCAGCATATGGTGGGAGGTCAGATGCTTAAAGACATCCTCCCTGAGGGCAGTCAGTTGCCAGATTACTGTCTGGTCCCACCACAGGTAGCCCCCCCACCCCTGCTGTTAAGAGCAATGGGCTACTTCTCCCTAAAGGCTTGTGACCATTAGTCTGGTTCCTGTAGGTGGGGTTTACACCCTACTAATAATGGTTTCTATAGTGGGCCAGAGAACAGGTCAAACCTGCTCGGAGACATCCAAAGTTAGGGTGCCATCCTGAATCTAGGATCTGCCCATCTTGTCACATGTGTGCCCCCAAACCCTCCTCTTCCTATTGTGTGTATACCCCTAGATCACCCCCTCCCATTACTACTGTATTACCTACAGCACAACCCTTTCCTGTGATGTATGTCTTCACCTGCAATTAGGGAGCTTGCAAGTCCCCAGAGAATATGAAAGCCTTACCAAGTGAGGCTGAAGTGAGCATTGCTACCATGAAATGTGTCTGACTCCATTATTTCAGTCTCTCTCTCCTATCTCTCATGCTCTCTATGACTTTACTATAATCTTTACTTATTGTCACTGTGCAATTGCACCTATTGGATGTGATGATGTGTTAGGGGCTGGTTAACCCTGACACCCATGCCAGGGCAAACCAAAGGCAGCGCTCTCTGCTCAGACCACCAGTGGGCCCTGCTTCATGAGGCAGTGCCGAAGTTGTGAGACGGTTAATAGATGAAGAAACACCGGTGGCTCAGACTCCCCTCAGGCTGCCTTACATGACGTGACCATTCCAGAAAAGATCTCGTGAAAATCTTAAAGACAATGGCTGCCGACTCATGTTAAGACTCTCAGCAAGTGCTTGCTTCGGCAGCACACAGACTAACATTGGAACGACACAGAGAAGAGTAGCATGGCCCCTGCGCAAGGATGACGCGCAAAGTCGTGAAGCGTTCCATATTTTAAGGAGAAAAAAAAAAGACTCTCAAAGAAGGCAGGGCCATGGTGAGGGCAACGCATTTCCTCTGTGATTACAGCCACACAATTTATCGAGCCTTTGATAACCCCTGTTCCCCACCCCCGCCAGTTGTTGCATGTGTTTCAGATTCAAGTGCTCTTTGAAAGCAGAGTTTCAGCACCCTAAAAAGCTAGATATATTGAGATCTTTCTCTACAGGCTCTTCTCATTCCTTGAGTGTTGGGAATAATAATGTAATGCCAACAAAAGCCCAATGTTGTGCTGTCGTTCCCCCACCCCACCCCCCCACTTAACACCACAAAGTCTAAGGAGTGGACACACACTGGAAGATGTGCTGGGCAGATGGACTTGAGTCAGGAAGCACTTTCTCTGGGAAGGCACCATGCCCTGCAGAGAGCAAGCTGCCCTCCGTTCACAGCCTCCGGGGCAGGGCTGCTGAGGGCTGGCCGGGCCCTGCTTTGGCAGCGGCCAGCACTTTCCACTCAATAGCCTCCGCCGACTCTGTGGGTTTGTCATGGGATTGCAGGTTTGTCAGCATAAGGGCTCTAAAGCCACCCTCGCAGAAGGCACAATGCCTCCAAGAAAAAAAACCAAACCAACCAAGCCCTGGTCTATTCTTCAGGCAGACAGCTCACGCACTGATCGTAAGAACCACAAGTCCCAGCTTGCCTCAAATGACCCCTTTGTTTAGCCCCATAAAAACCTACCATCCACGAAGCTTATAGGCCTCTGGGATATCGGGATTCACAATGACAGTGCTTGAAGACAGCACCGAGAGGCTCCGTCCACCAAAATCAGACACTCTGGCTCCTTTGATAGCCATCACGGGCTGTCGAGAACCATCAAATCTATCTGCCTGCATAAAAACACAAGCCCCGGAGAGACGTAAACAAGGGTCACTGGCGGGCACATCTGAAGAATGCAGTTACCGTATATACTCCGGTATAAGCCGAGTTTTCCAGCACATTTTTAATGCGGTTTTTGTGGTAAAATTAGGTGCTCGGCTAATATTCGGGTTGGCTTATATGTGAGTATATACGGTAATGCAAGCATGGAATCTATAGAAGAGAGCCCTAACCCTAACCCTTTCAACAACCCCTGCTAAAAAAACCTGCTCAGATATATAATCCCCAGGCAGCCTGCTTTTGTGTGGTCAAAGCCCCATAGCTCACAGGGCGGGCCACCCCACCTCTGAGCTCACCAGAAGTACTTACATCTTCTCCCCACAGAGTAGCAGACACCACCTTCCCGGACATGTCCATCAAGTAGATATTTCTCTTCGAGATCTCTCTGTTGTTGGACCTCACTGTGATTTTCATAGCGTCTTCGTAGCTCTTGCAGACCCCAATGATGTCTACAATACAGGCAGTAACATTCGAGCGAGGAGATGGAGGCCCCCCTTTAGATCATGTGACCCAAGGTCAAGCGGCAAGTACTGCCGCCATCCAGCTTCCCGCCCGACCTTGCAGATATAAAAGGGATTGCTCCCACTCTCCTTGCTCCCTGAGGGAGACTTACCTACAAGTGAGTCTTTGGGCTTGCTCTCTAGGTCCCCAATCCCTGTGAAATCAAACTGAACTGTGGGTAAGTGATGGTCATCTTCACAGGGCAGGACAGACGTCTCATTGTTGAAGGTCATCTCATAGTCGTTTTTAATAGCTGTGAATTGTTTATTAGCGATCTTCAGGGTGCCTTTCGCGAAATAATAGACCTGGCCAGAGAGGACAAGCCAATCACCTTTCCCCACCACGGAACCTTCAGGGGCAGGGTCCCGGCCTCCCCACGCCCCCACAGGTGCACGTCCGGTCCTCCCGCCAGCGCCGCTGTACCTTGTTCACTTCAATCAAGGGGAAGAACTTGTCCACTTGCTCATTGAAAGCGGTGGCTCGGATTTCACCCTGCAGAAACATGTGGGAACAGGTTGGCAGAGCAGCGCTCCGTGCCGTGCCAAAACCTAAACGGAGTCTAGGAAACGGCGTGCGATGGACTGCAATCATTGTCACCACCGGCCAGAGACACACGCGGAGGTTCAAGGGGCTGGGCCTACAACCACGATTATTCACATAAAGACCTCATGGTGAGTGTAATATCCCTACGACAACAACACACGGGTTTCTGAATGCTGAGTGGCACGAAGGATGCACATGGGGACGTGGGTGGGGCAGGATGACTCGTGGGTGTCGGGCAGTGAGGGAGGGGCAGACAGATGGGCATCGTCGGGTGGCTTCAGATTCGGGAGCCATGGCCCAGAACAGCGTGCTAACCAGTCACGTCTTCAAGGCACCCGAGGTCTGCTTTTTCCACGTTTACTTTTCTGTCAGTGTCGTTAGGAAGGTTGAGAACCACTGATTTATGATGACCTTTAACCCTCTGCTCCCAGACAGCATCAAGAGACTGTAACAGAGGGAAGAGCGACAGCCACACTCCCATTCGGGCTACTATTCCCGTGCACCTGAGAGGCCCACCCAGGGACGACTCTTCTGGTTCTCCAAGGGAAGGACTTCTATCCCTCCACTGGACAATACTCACGCTTTCATCAACCATTTCTATAGAGAAGAGCTTTCCTTCCCCTCGAGAATTGCTCCAGGTTCGGATCTGACTCTTGTTGGTAACACGAGCGCAAATAGTCCACCTACAAACCAAACAGGGCGTCACTGTCTCACCTGGGACTCGGGAGAGGTCTGAAAGCTTGCCCATCGGCTTCCGGTGGCCTTTCTTCCCAAATGCGTATTCCCATGTTCAATGTTAGCTCTCTCAATGCAGCTAATTAAAACCCCAAGATGACATACAGGTTGACAGTTTATAGAATAAGCAAATAGTAATGCATAAAAGGTGATTAACACTAACTCATTCTCCTGTCAAATAAGCAAATTTATAAACTCTCTCTCTTCTCCAAAAAGCATCACCAAGGCAACAATGCCCCTAATGAAGACTCTGCACTAGGAAACGCAGTAATGCCCGTTATCTTCTGCCACTGTCTCCAGCTCTGAGCTCTGTGATCACGGGTGTCAGCTTCTGTCTCATTTCCCAAACGCACCGACTGTCACAGAACCAAGTTAGGGGAGGGGGAGCCTCTCCAGCAGGGAAAAGAGGCACAAGACGGCGACCGGGGCCGAGACCCTCACGTTTAGTCACAGTACTTAGTACTTCACCAGGAAGAGAAAAGCTTTCCTAGCTTCAGGGGCCTTGCAGACAAACAGACATACAAAAAACACATCTTAAAGGAGTTGGGGAGGAGAAAACCACTCATTTTCAACTGCTTAATTTTTAACAGCAGGAAGTCGTAACAGAAATGTATGCTCAGGACACGTTAACGTGGCTAATACGAACAGCAGATTCTTCTAGTCAACTAGCTCATAAAGACTTTAGACTAAGTCACTTGCCTTTATGATGAGAACATGAAATATCTTCTAACGTAGCACAACTGTTTGCTTTTAATAACAAGCAAGACCCAACACTGATTCTTCAAATATTAAATATGAAGGGGCTTCGTGGGAAAATTCTCTTTCCCCATAAACGTTTCAAAGCTTCTTGTGACTTTAACTTCACATTCTTTAAAAGTAAATAAAAAGCAGCAGTCCCCAAAAGAGGGAGTAGGGGGAAGCTCAACTGCAGATACTCCTTCGATACAACTAAACACTCATGGGATTCGATTGCTTGGCTCAGAGATTTAGGGTCCTGGGTTTATGCTCTACTCAGTCCACTGACCACACATCGTTTCTTTAGTTCTGGTCTACCTCCTCGTTAGGTAGGTAGTCCCTGGTGTCTTCAGAGCTTGCCAACTGTCTCTATCTGCATGGAGCAGGAGTCATGGCCCAGGAACTGGAGAAAGAAATGGACTTGCTGGTCTAATTGGCGACGTACACACACCTCCTTTACCATGGGACCTGAAGAAATCGCTGCTGCCTGGCTACCACGACTGAACATTTTGACCCAGGACCCAGTAGAATAGATAGATCCTGATCAAAAGGAGGAAAATGTGGAACAGAACATCAAATTCTTATGGAAACCTGACTTACTGGACCCATCCAGATGGGGAGAGCCCCAAACCGACTCTAAAGCACGTGTAAGGGTTTTCAGAGGCACCGAGAGACACGTTAGCGGAAGGAGCAGTGTGGGCAGACAGTGAGGACGGGGGCACACGTGGAAGGACGCAGCCAGTGGCACTCATCTGTCCACGGAGAGACTGCCGGGTGGCTGTGCCTGGTCTCTTTTCACACATAAATAATAACAGCGTAAAACTCCACAGGCTATTCGACCATTCTTTCTGAGACACGACTGCAAGGTTGCTACAGTTCGTCCCTTCTTTTCTCCGGGGAAAGAGCCCTGTCTGATGTGGCCATGACCCTGACGACCGAGAACAGAAAGACTCAAGGTCGACTGCAACTGCACAGCTCTGCTTGATGGACTGAACTGTGAAGAGGTCTATGTCTGGATTGGCTCCTGATAAAACAGTTTGGAAAAAAGGACAATCAGTGGACATAAATGTGTGAATAAAGACTCAAAAAACCAACCGATGATCATTTTTAGTACTGTTGTAATACACTGTGCATGTACTCTATGAAACAACTCACTTGGACTGGTAAGGAGTAAGGCTGGCAATGGGCACCACCTTGGCCTGTGTGCCCCCAGGAGTGCTCCCCAGACTGGAACCCCCACCAGGTTTTCCAAAGGTCTTGGAGGCACCGTAAGCCTTAGGTGCAGTGGAACCTTGAACATAAACAGAAAGGATAATCCATTATTCTACTTAGCTTTGATAATAACTTCTGCAAAAAAGTCTATTACAAAGGTGCCACTGGGGAAATTGTCCCGAGAGAGAAGTGAAGTTTTGCTTTGTTTTTTTAACTGTCCCTGAGACCCGAAGTTCAACTCCAGATTAAAGCAAGAGGCTAGGAAACCACCAAGAGCCACAGACAGGCACGCAGAAGCTCACTAGGGCATAAACTGACTGTGGCCCGACATCAGGACACGTGATGCCATCAGGGGGCCACTCCTCTTAAACGTTCCTCTTACGCCAGTGGGTAACAAAGAACAGGGGAGAAAGAAAAACAAACAAAAAAAAGCAACCTTCTGTCTGGCAAATCATTAGTCACCTAAATGAAAAAAGAAAAAAGCAAAAGCAAGAGGGAAGACCAGGAGATAAAAGCTATGTCCTTGGACTGACCACTTGAGGCAAAGGACACCTCCTACCAATCAACTCAGAACTGCCCAGAAAGAGCCCCGTGCTCAGTAGGTGTACAGGCCCGAAACACGTTCGGAATGATGTCTACAGGGCTTACTGGCCACGAAGGGTTAAGAACCGGCTGGGCCCAAAACTCAAAGCACGTAGGCAGGTGCAACTGTGACCCCTTCTGCCTCCTCCACCTGTGCCTATGCAGCGATCATCCAAGAACGGAGAAATAAAGCCTATGCACAGACGAATGCTTTCTACGACACCGCTTCTGTAACGCTTCAGTCTGCAAGTCAAGAAAACTTAGTTCAGTGACATTTAGCTCAAATACGAAAATCCCCAGAATGGAGTTTAGTTAAAAATGTAAATTTATCCAGCACTTATTTACTGAGTTTCTGTGGCATGCACCACACTATTGTAGATTTATAGCACCTAATGAACAAATTTGTTTTTTTGGCCAGAGGGAGTGGCTTTTAGATAATCTACCACACTTATCTTAGAGAATTCACTTCACTTACCCCCCCCCCCCTGTTTATCAGGACATAATTTGAGAGTTGTGTATCAACAGAGCGGCTCACAAAGGCAGAGACACACTAGTTAGGGAAGCAGCAGAGGGAAGGCCCATGTCCCGAAGGTTTCACAGAAAACGTTAGTGAGTGCAGGATCGTGCAAAACAACTAATACTTGAGGTTCTCATGTGAAGCTGCACCAGAAAAAATGGACTTTAAAAATAAACCTAACCAATACTACCAATCATTATTTTCACAAATGACTTCTCAGATCAAATGATTCCTAAGCAAAGGCCAGAAAGTACACAAATGATTCCGTACCGGCTGCAGTGGAAGTTAAAGGCAGGAACGCATCCGTGAATGAGAAGCAGAGCCCACGACCAATATAAATACTGTCTCCAAGCAAACAATAGATACCCCAGAGAGCCAACAGGAAACTTGGAGAGAGATGAGCCAGATTTAATAAGCAAGAATTTGAAAAGGCTGCAATTCACAGAAAGTCAGAGGGGGGCAAACCTAGAGATATGAGCAACTGTTAAGATAAAACTGTCACCAGAGCACACAGGAGCAGATGCAGGGGGAGGGAGAAAGGGTGGGGCACATCCTGGCCCACCAAACCCTGAGGACGATATCCCTGCTCAGAGCAGCCAATGCACACAGAAGACCATAGGGTCGGTCCCACCATGGGACATAACATCCCTCCCTGACCCATAGTGCTATGGGAGACAACACTGGAGACATAGACTTGTGCCTGATCTGACCCCACCACACTGAGGCAAAACACTTAGGGCGTGCAACAGAAAAGCAAGGGGAACAGCATCGAAGTGCCCAAGGAATACCAAAAACAGACTTGGGGCCAGGGCGTGGCACCCATCAGACTCAACCCGAAAACATTCCTAAAGGTCAACAGACCTTGAACTATTTATAGGCTTTTCTCTTTTTTGGGGTCATTGTTTTGTTGTCTTGTTTTTGTGCATATTATTATCTCTGCAGGTCTATCTAGATAAGATAGGCAGGATAAACAATCTGGAGGAGAAAATAATGGGACAGACGGTTGTGGAGCAGGATATGGGAGAGGCGGGGAGAGGAAGTGGGTGTTAAACCCAGGGACAAGAGAACAATAAGTGATCTAAAATTGATGGCAAGGAGGATTTAGGACGCCTGGTAGAGCTTGATCAAGGGCAACGTAGCCAAGAATTACTGAAACCCCAAATGAAGGCTGAACATGATAGTGGGACAGGAGGAAATAAAAGGTAATAGAGGAAAGAAGTAGGAGGTAAAGGGCATTTATAGAGATCTAAATACAGGCATGTACGTATGCAAATGTATTTATATATATATGACGGGGAGATAGATCTATGTACCTATATTTATAGGTCTAGTATTAAGGTAGCAGATGGACAATGGGCCTCTACTCAAGTACTTCCTCAACGCAAGAACACTTTGTTCCTTTAACCTGGCATTCCATGATGCTCACCTTCCTGACACAATTGCTGAAGACAAATCGGGAGCATAAGCAAATGTGGTGAAGAAAGCTAATGGTGCCCGGCTATCAAAAGATATAGTGTCTGGGGTCTTAAAGGCTTGAAGACAAACAAGTGGCCATCTAGTTCAGAAGCAACAAAGTCCACATGGAAGAAGCACACCAGCCTGTGTGATCATGAGGTGTTGAGAGAATCAGGTACCAGGCACCAAAGACGCAGAACAAAAAAATCATTATCATTGTGAATGAGGGGGAGTGTGGAATGGAGACCCAAAGCCCATCTGTAGGCAAATGGACACCCCCTTACAGAAGGGTCACAGGGAGAAGAGCCAGTCAGGGTGCAGTGTAGCACCAATGAAACATACAACTTTCCTTTAGTTCTTTACTGCTTTCCCCCTCCCCCTGCCCACTATCATGACCCCAATTCCACCTTACAAATCTGGCTAGACTAGAGCATGTACAGGGGTACAGATAAGAGCTTGCAACACAGGGAATCCAGGGCAGATAAACCCCTCAGGACCAATATTGAGAGTAGCCATACCAGGAGGGCAAGGGGAAGGTGGGGGAAGAAAGGGGGAACCAATCACAATGACCTACCTATAATCCCCTTCCAGGGGGATGGACAACAGAAAAGTGGGTGAAGGGAGACATTGGTCAGTGTAAGACATGAGAAAAT